CGGCCGAGGCTCTGGGCACCGGCGCGGCTGGCGGTCCCGGAGCCCAGATCCTGGCACTGCGAGGTAAGAAGCGGCGCGCGCAACACACAACGGAGGGGGAGAGAGAGCGGGCGCGGGCAGGAGGGTGGGCCGGGGACCCGTCCCTCGCGTGCGCCGCAGCCTAGTGACGCACCGGACCGCAGCGGGGGCTCAGTACCCCCTCCGCCCCGCCCACGGTGCCCGTCGCTCCTCCGAGCTCGCGCATCCTGTGCGCCCCGCACCTTCCCGCAGCTCGGCATCCCCAACACCGCCCACCCCGCAGGGTTTCTCCTCCCTCGCGTTTGTTCCCCAGGTTCTTTCCGAGAGCGGTTGGACTGGCGGGGGAGCTGGGGGCGCAGCTGGAAGCCGCCAGGGGGTGAGCCCGGCGTGGGGGCGGGGGCCGGGTACCATTCTTCTGGTCTCTTCTTGTGACTGGTGCTCAGCGCAGCGGGCTGGCTCCATGTCTGGAGAACGAATGAATCATGACTCCTTGTCAGCGCTTGAAGGACTTTCTTGAGGTCCACGTGCTGCTGCAGAGCACCTTGAGAGGGGCCCTCTTGAGATAGGGTACCTACCCTCTTCTTGAGTAGCAGAAACTCCACTCACTTCCCCTCCTCTCTGCCATTGGTTGGGGGATCTGGGGTTAGGATGAGATTCTTGTAGGCCTTAGCCAAGTACTTGTTGAAGGGATGTTGGAGCAGGACACTTAATGAAGGGCTCTTAGAAGGTATTAAAAGGGGTGTGGTGGTGGTGGTGGTGGGAATGGGTGAGCACTCAGAACAAGGCAGGGTCTCCTTAGCACTGCCAAGGCCAGCCTGAAAGACGTGATCTGAGTACCCATCCCGTTTCAAAAGTTATTAGGAGCCTCTAATCTCTGTTTCTTCATTACTGAATTGAGAACATTAGTGCCCATTTCTGAGAAATATTTGCACAGTCAGAAAAATGCAGTGTTTGTTATATTGGGGGCACCCAACACATCTTGCCTCACCCCCATTTGTTCTTCCAGTTTTTTTTTTTTTTTTTTTTTTAAATCCCCAAATAGGTTCTAATCAGACCCAGGTGATGTGTGTTTATTGCTGAGTGGCTTCTCCTCCCCCACCCCACAGTCTGCAGGGAGAGCTGGGGATTTGCTGGGTATAGGCATGCCAGTGCTGTCCGAAGACTCCGGTGAGTATTCCCAACCGAGACTGCTCCTACCAAGCCTCCCAGGGTTCTCTCTGGAAGCTACCCTGCCTGCTCACCCTGCCGACCTGAGCCGGGGTTGGGGGTGGTGGTGGTGGTGGTGGTGTCATAAGGACAGGATGGGAGTCTGTCTGAGGATCCCCACAGGGCCCAGAACTCCCTCTGTTTCTGGACCTTGCTTTTCTTGTCTGCCTCCTCATTAGGTTTGCATGAGACCCTGGCGCTGCTGACCTCTCAGCTCAGGCCTGACTCTAATCACAGGGAGGAGATGGGCTTTCTGAGGGACATCTTCAGTGAGAAAAGCCTCAGCTACTTGATGAAGGTGAAGGCCGCTCAGCCCCTCCCCCACCCCCCCAGGGGAGGTTCTTCCCTGGGTCATCCCAGCTATCCCCTCTGCCCTAGGAAGGTTTCTACTGACTCACTAGGTAGGAATTTTCCTTCTGCACTGCTGTGAAGGGAAGCCAGACTACAGTTCTAGGTGTCACCACAACCCAGGGTTGGGTGTACAATATTCGGGGTTAAGCAAAAAATCAAGTATCTTTGCAGATTCACGAGAAACTCCGCTATTACGAGAGGCAAAGTCCAACCCCAGTCCTGCACAGTGCCATGGCTCTTGCTGAAGATGTAAGTCCCAGATTTTAATACTTTGACTTACAGTGGAGCCCCACCCCCAGCCTTGAAGGACTCCCTCTAGCCTGGTCAACACTGCTTAGCCTAGGGACGTCAGTGGTTTAAGACAGATCTTTTCCTCTCTCCTCTCCTTTTTTTCTTGATGGTATTGGGAATCAAGTCCAGGACCTTGTACTCTGTGTATTTGAACTATAGCTCCAGCCTTCCCTGGGCTGACATCAAGGAGGACCTTGTTAGCCTGAGCCTGGGCAGGGAGACATGATGATTCCGGTTGACTGTGTGTTCTGGAGCAAGCCTGTTCCCTCAGCTGTAAAATGAGAGTGTTGGATCCCATCAGCAGCTCCTCAACTGTTCCAAGAACTGGCAATATGAGTAGGTCAGCCAGTGCCTTGTGTTTGAGCTTTGGGAGTCTGACATGAAGTCCTGAAGTCAAGAGACTTGTGGTGTGCCCCTGGTGACTGGCTTTGGTTTCTTGATTCTTGTGGACCTAGTCCTCTGGATTTCCTGTTGGGGAAAAGCTGTCTGGGTTGATGGCTTACATTGGCTCCTAAATAGCTCACCTAATACTCAACTAGTTAGCTAGGCTTTTCTCCAAGGGACCTCAGGACAGTGTAGCCTGTGCTACAAACCTTGTGTCTTGTTCCTCTGTGGCACGATCACATCTTGTCACATCACCCATCCCCAACCAAGCTCAGTGCTGCCACCTTTGCTACTAGCTCTGTGACCTTAAACAAGTCACTCAACCTCTCAGCCCTAATTTCCTCACCCATGAAATAGCCAAGCGCTGAGGATACAGACAGTATAGCTAGAAAAGTCTGGGTTCAAATCTTGGCTTTGCCAATATGAACCTTGTGATACTGGGCAAGGTATTTAGTCTCTTCAGACCCTGGGTTCTCATCCATTAAATCAACAAATCAAAGCACCCACTATGTCTGGTTTGTTGCAGGGGGTCTGAGAAGGGCCATATAAAGCAACAGCACACAGTAGGGCTAACTCAGCACTAGGAGGATCACCCTGTGTACCTATGAGAGTGCTTCTGGTCTCTGGTGTGATTTCCCCAGGGCCTCCATCAGTCCTAGAGTGGTGGGTCTGACATGCTCCTGGGGGCTGCAGCCATTCCTCAGATCCTTGTGTTTGATGCCCAGGGAGGAGGGATTTCCCCCAGGGACTCCAGCAATCTTCAGCAAGGACACCCCAGCTTCTTGTCTCCTCCCTTACAGGTGATGGAGGAGTTGCAGACGGCCTCTCTGCACAGTGATGAGAGGGAGCTGCTGCAGCTGCTGTCCACCCCCCATCTCAGGGTAGTCACGCCGCAGTCCCTGCACACCCACACAGCTGTGTCTCCTGGGATGGGGGTGGAGGGAGTGCTGGGTCCGGAGACAGAGGGGAGGAGACTTCTGTGTGCAGGATCCTGAGTGATGGGAGTCTGGGGGAGTGCTTCTTAGGCATGAGATCTCAGACCCCTTCTACCCCTGCCTAGGCAAGGCCCTCTGCTCCTGTGAGGGCATGGAGCCAGCCCTTTACTCTTGCTTTTCTGGCAGGCTGTACTTATGGTACACGATACAGTCGCCCAGAAGAACTTTGACCCTGTTCTGCCCCCTCTGCCTGATAATATAGATGAGGATTTTGAGGAAGAATCAGTGAAGATTGTTCGCTTGGTGAAAAACAAGGAGCCCCTGGTATGTGCTTGCCTCTCTTCCCTCCCTTCCTCTTCATCTGACTCCCAACCCAGGAAACCCAGAAGGGACCCTCCTGAACTCTGGGTGACAGCTGCGTTGTCGTGAGTGTTACTGTTCTCTACAGCACCTTTGAGTATAGGGCATCCCTTTCCTAAGTGGATACAGCTCCTGTCCGTGTAGCCAAGCCCTTTTGCACAGCGAACATCCTGTACAACAGTTGGGGTGGTCATGATCATCATGCTTGAAAACAGAAGTTAAACTCAACCCAAGGGCCAAAGGGAGCCATAGCTTAATTTTATGTTTTGTTAGTTTTAGCGTGGTTATGCTTATTCATATATCATGGCTGAGTTGAGTAATTACATTAGAGACCTGTGACACCCCCCAAAAACCCAAGGTATTTATACTTGGTCCTTTATAGAAAGTTTGCTGATCCTGCTCTGATTACTGATGTAGCCCAGGGCCACAACCACTCTCCTCCCCGACTGACAGATAGCACCCTGCTTTTAACACTGATTGACCAGGCAAAGAGAAGGTTGTTTATCAGATGGAAGGAAGTGGTGGAAGTCCAGAGAACTAAGTACTTGCCCCAGGCAAACCCAGAGCTGGCCTTCTCTAGTTTCAGTTTTCCCCATCTGACCTGTGTCAGATGAGCCAGGTCTGCCAGTGGGTGAGAATGTCTTCTTTGCCTCTGTTTCCCTGCTGTGCAATGGGGCCACCAGCCATGGAGTTGGCACATTGCTCAGGGGCCCTCCTATGTGGAAATGGTATTGGGGGGCTGGGAGTTCAAAAAGGAATAAGTGATGTGTAGAATTTGTCTTCTGTACTTTGGATAGATGATGTGAATAGATGTGCAAGTGTTTGCATAGACAGACAGTATTAAAGGTGAACATTTATTGGGCACTTACTGTTTATGTCTCTTGTGAATTTCATTATGGGCTCCTTGTAACAACTCTGAGAGTTAAATGTTCTCCCTCACCCTGGAGGAGACAGACTCTAAGAACACAGGGACTTCCTTGCAAAGCCACATGCTTTTCAGTCAGTGATTGAGCTGGATTTGAACCCAGGGCTTTTGGTGCTTGGCTGTCCACTTCACGGCTGTCTTGGCATGGCCTACTCACCTGGCACAGGAAATCCGGAGCTCATTAGTGCCTTACTCATCTCAGATGTCATCTCCCTGTGCTTCATGGGCCAAGTCCTGGTCCTGAAGCCCTGGTGGGGGCGTAATTGGTTCTTCTTGGCAACAACAGAAGGCCCAGGAATGCTGGGATTGGCTTGAGGCAGGTTGAGAATTTGCTAGCACATACTGTCCTCATTATTAAATGTCTTTGCGAGTGGCAAGGGCTGTGATGAGACAGAAAATACTGGGTTTGGCATCATCAGAAGCTCTCCCTCCTCTCCATGGAGTGACTTTGAAGATGCTTGGCTTCTCTGATACCCAGTCCTTCATGTTTTACTTATTTATTTAAAATTTTTATTACATTTACTTTTTTGTACGTGTGTATATGTGTGTGTGGGGGTGGGTGGGGGTGTGTGTGTGCCATAGTGCAAGGGTGGAGATCAGAGGGCAACTTTCAATTTTTTCCTTCTACCATGTGGGTCCCAGGGGTTGAACTCAGGTTGTCAGACTTGCTTTTACCCCCCAAGTCATCTCACCAGCCTTATTATATTAATTTTTTGAGACAGGGTCTCATGTAGCCCAGGCTGGCCTCAAGCTCCTTATGTATCTGAGGATGACCTTGAACTCCTAATCCTCCTGTCTCTAGCTCCTGAGTCCTGGGATGGCAGGCATGTGCCGCCAGGCCTGGTCCGTTGTGTAGGCTGTCACATGATCATTGTGCTTTGTGAGCTGTAAAGTGTGGAACTTTCCTGATGGAAGCTGCTGGCTTTATGGTGTTTTCAGCCCTGGGAAGGTCCCCACTGATTCACCATCTGGGGTGACAGAGGGAGGAATGCAAGAGGCTGTGTCAGTCTGAGGTTGCCTTGCTTGGTCTTGTCTGTTCCTTTCCCCTATGCAGGGTGCCACCATCCGGAGGGACGAGCACTCAGGGGCTGTTGTGGTGGCCAGGATCATGCGAGGGGGTGCAGCAGACAGAAGCGGTGAGTTCAGCCAGTGGACTAAGTAGAGGGATGGAATGGCAGCCTAGCTGAGACGGTGGCCATTGTCCCAGAGCCCCTTTGCTCTTAAGCTCTCTTTCCTCCAACACTTTGGTAACCTTTGTGGGATTTGCTTTGCTTTCAGGATTGGGGCTGAAATTCTCACTATTCCAAGCTCAATAGGATTTTTGTTTTGTTTTGTTTTTTGAGACAGGGTCTCACTATGTAGCCCTGGCTGCCTTGGAACTGGCTATATAGATCAGGTTAGCCTTAAACTCACAGAGATCCCCCTGCCTCTGCCTCCCAAGTGTTGGTCTTAAAGGTGGAAGATACCATGCCTGGCTCAGTGGGAATATAATCAAAGCCTAAACAGGCTGGGGTTCTCAGGGGTGATCAGGAAAGGTGTAGCCTGAAGGCTTAACACTTAAGCATGGAGGATGGGCTTGGTAGCGGCTTCCTAACTGGGGTGGGGATGATTCCCTGTCCCTACCAGTAGCCTGGGCACCTTGTGAAACTGCACTTGTAGAGGGGAGGGTGCTCATGTCCAAGACTGATTCGAATGGAAAGCAGGTTGAGAATCATAAGTGTGTGGGAGACGTGGAGGCAAGCCTCCCAGTGTAGGAGGATGTTACCCTCCAGTGGGGACCTGACATGGACAGTCCTAGACCTTGCTTCCCACACACCGAGCACACAGGTCTCTGAGCATCTTGGTAACCCACAGACTCTGATTCAGAAATCTGCACTCCTGACCCAGTGTTGCTGCTGCTATTGCTGGCTCAGCACCAACTCAGAGCAGCAAACAGAGGCTTCAAATATGTAGAGAGACTTGTCATCAGAGTAGTGGCTAAGTGCTGTGGGTGGTGGCAAGTGCCTATAGTCTCTTCTGTGTGGGAGGTTTAGAAGGTAAGATCCCTTGAGTACAAGAGATCAAGACCAGCCTGGGCAACATAGCAAGAACTTGTCAAAATAAAGCCAGGCTGGGTATATAGCTAAGTTGGTAGGTGGCTTGCCTAGAACACAGGGATTCGATCTGTAGCATAGTATAAAACAGGGCATAGTGGTACATACCTGTAATCCCAGTACTCAGTAGGTAGAGACAGGAGGATCAGAAGTTTAAGGTCATATTTGGCTACTTAGTGAGTTTGAGGCCAGCCTGGGCCACATGAGTCTTAAAAAAAAAAATAAATAAATAAATAAATAAATAAATAAATAAGTCAATGGATGAGTGTGGTTGACACTCTTGAGGGCATCTTTTCTGTATCCTTTAATTTACCTTATTAAGATCCAAGAAGACCATTCATGGAGTGTGTTTGTATCCCAGGAGAGTGAAGAAAGTTAATGATACTTTCAGAAGAGCAGAGATGGGGGCTGGGGAGAAGGCTCAGTTGGTAAAGTGCTTGCTTGCCACACAAGCATGAGGCCCTGAGTTTGACCCCTAACACCCATATAAAAACACCTGTTATACTCGCACTGGGAAGGTAGACACAGGCAGATGCCTGGGGCTCATTGGCCAGACAACCTGCTTGAATTGGTGAGCCCCAGGTCTCAGTGAGAGACTCTGTTTCAAAAGACAAAGTGAATGATGCTTGAGGGAAAACAGCACTAGAATTTTCCTTTGGATTCTACATACATGTGAACACATGTATGTGTGCACCCAAAAATACATGTACACCCAAACACAGGAATATACAGACAGACAGACAGACAGACAGACAGACAGACACACACACACACACACACACACAGTAGAGATGTAGCAGAAAGAATGCAGTTTTCTATGCCAAAGCACTTGTGTGTGCGTACTGGCTCCATTTGGCTTCGGTGGGACTGCTGCGTGTTCCTGGCTCTCACCGCTTATGCATGGGGACCTCCCAGAGGATGGTATAAATTCAATGTTCAGTGTGTGCCAGCATGCAGAAGGGTACAGTCCTCCACATTTTTAGACCTGAGTCTGCCCTGCAGTAACCTCTTCAGTGCCCAGTTGCATGAGGTCCAGCGTCAGGGCCCTTCCTGTGCTGAGCTGACCCCAGACCCTGTCTCCTAGGCCTGGTACATGTTGGTGATGAACTCCGAGAGGTGAATGGGATTGCTGTCCTGCACAAACGTCCTGATGAGATCAGCCAGATTCTGGTTTGTGTGGCTTGCCTGTGGGGAGGGAGATCTTCAGAGACCCAGAACAGGGGGGCTTCTTGGCAGAGCCAGGGCAGACCCTGTCTTTGCCTCCCTGTTTGTATGAGAATGGGGCAAGACAAAATGGCCTTCCAGTCCACCTGCCTCCTTCTCTCAGACCCTGTCTTCAGGACAACTATCCTCCTACCCCCAGCTCCTTTTCCTGAGAGCCCTCCCAAGTCTTGGGTTTGAGTCCTAGTCCCACCAACGTTCAGCTTCCTTTCCAGTAACATAGGGAGTGAGAGGGGTTTTCAACCCACGTGTGGTTATTAGCATGGAAACACTGGAGAAGGATAGACCACTGCAGAATTGTGAGGAGATTCCAGGGATCAAAGCAGCATCTGTTCTGGGGTGTATGAGACAAAATGGAAACATTGGAAATCTCCGTCATACCTGTGACTGGTTCATCCTTTGGTGTCTTCCACTAACCGGACGCTCTTTGCTAACTACTGATGGTTTGTGGGGCACAAACAGGATAAGCACTAAAGAGATAGGCTGTCTTTTAGGGCCTGTCAGGAACACAGGTGCAGTTGACCTTTCAGTCTTACTCTTTTTTTATTTACTTATTTATTTTTATTTTATATGTATGAGTGTTTTGCCTACATGTATGTAAGTGTACCACATATATGTGCAGTGCCCACACAGGCCAGAAGAGGGGTGGGAGTGCATCTCACTTCTCTGACATGAGAGCCCTGTAGAGAAATAGAAGCAAAGAATTTGAAAGTATTAATCGGCTATAGCCTAGGATAATGGGACTGAAGTAGATTATTAAAACAGCCGAGGAGAGCATCAAGGAGAGGAGTTCTTAGGACCCGAGGGGTCTGGAGCCACAGGGAACCAGAATTCAAGGCTTGCCTAGTCTTTGAGTTCTTATTAAAAACTTCTGCCTCTTTGTCCCATGAAAAGGCAGTATATTAGTTACTTTCTTGCTGTTACAACCAAAAAACCTGACAAAAGAAATGTAATGGAGGAAGGGTTCATTTTGGTATAGTCCACCATGGCAGGGAAGGCATGGGCAGCAGGAGCTGAGGCAGCTGGTCACATTGTATCCATGGCCAGGAAGCAGAAAGAGATGAATTCTTGTGCTCAGCTTTTTCCTTTATTTTTATAGCCTAGGACCTCAGCCCATGGAATGATGCTGTTGACATTTAGGGTGGGTCTTTCCACCCCAGTTAACCTAATCTAGAAACTCCCTCACAGATACGCCCAGAGGTTTGTTTTTGTGGTGATTCTAAATCCTGTCAGGGTGACAATCAGTATTACTCATCACAGTTAGATACTTGATTTCTGAGTTTACTTCATAGTTTATTCATCTAGGTCATAGGGGTGGAGGCTGTGAAACTGACTTTCATTCTGAACATCCATCCATTCTTAGACCTGGAAAGTGAGACTGGAACTCACCCATTGTCATGTCTAGAGGGTAACAAGCCTTTGTTCTCTCTTCCTTCAGGCCCAGTCTCAGGGATCCATCACCCTCAAAATTATCCCTGCCACCCAGGAGGAAGATCGCCTCAAAGAGAGCAAGGTATGGGAGGTGGGCTCCCTGGAGCCTTCTCTGCTGGGCCAGGGTGGGTGTGCCAGACCTGCCTTTGGACATAGTCATCCAAACAGCTCATGTGTCTTGCCCTAGTAACCTGTGCCTAGCAAGGGCTTTGTCACAGGTGGCTCACTTACTTGCACCCTGCTGTTTGGAAACAGGATTTGACATAGCTTACTAACAAAAGACAAAGTTACTTTAATTGAAATAGAAGATAAGCCGAACCATCAAGAGAAGAAGGAACATAGGAACTGGACTCTGGACCAGTGATGAAGCTGCCATTGACTTGGTTATTTGCCTGTCTTTGGTGGTGATCTCCCTGTGCTGGGCTCTCTGCCAGAGGCCAAAGACCAGGATAGTTAGTAACTCCAAGGGTTTCTGTGTGGAAGGGGAGGCTTGGGAAGAAGTGCTTAGGAAAGTGTCTGTAGAGCAAGGGATACCGCGGAAGGCAACTCCAAGGGTTTCTGTGTGGAAGGGGAGGCTTGGGAAGAAGTGCTTAGGCTGTAGAGCAAGGGATACCTCGGAAGGCATCACAGTGGGGATGCTGTTGCTAGAGGCAGGCTTCAGAGGGACAGTCAGGCCAGTGTTACACAGAGACTCTGAGGCGTTGTGGAAGGGAGCACATTTGGGGATCTGGGAGAAAGGGTGATATGATGGGGTTTTGGGGTGGATAGAAGGGTAGCTGGCAATGCAGGTTCAGCTCTGAAGGATTCAACACATTCCTGTTCAGTTTGGGCACTCCTAGAATCTGACCCCAACACAAGGATTTGAAGGCAAGAAGGGTAGCTGGCAATGCAGGTTCAGCTCTGAAGGATTCAACACATTCCTATTCAGTTTGGGCACTCCTAGAATCTGACCCCAACACAAGGATTTGAAGGCAGATGGTTTATGTGATGGGAGGTGATTCCAGGCCACACCAATTAGGGAGTAAGGAAGGACTGGGAAGGCAGTCTGATAGGGAGCATGCTATCCAGCAGTGCATCACTGTGGATACCTGGCGCATAATCCTACAGGGCTTCTGGAATTCCCCATAGACCATGCACTGTGGTTGTTCTGGCTAAGAGCTGGGGAAATGTTTACATCAACTCTACCAAGCACTGAAAATTAATTCTTCGTAGTTCCTGCCTATTAGATTAGAGAAGAGCCAGCCTAACAGCCACAGGAAGTATGTCCTTAGGCAAGGGGTGCAGGTGTTAAGTCCTGAAGAAAAACCCAAACCCTAGGATTTTTGTGGAAAATATTTCAATTTGATTCTTTTTTTAATATTTATTTGTGTGTGTGTGTGCGCGCGCGTGCGTGCGTGCGTGCGTGTGTGTGTGTGTGTGTGTGTGTGTGTGTGTGAGTGTGTGTATGAGTCCATGAACCACAGCACACGTGTGGAGGTCTGAGGATTGAACTCAGATCTCTGGTAGCAAGGGCCCTTAACCCACTGAGCCAGTGGAGGAAGGGGGAGGTGAGTGGAGTTGTGCCAGGGAGGCGTGGTAGGAAGCTATGTAGAGTGAGATCGTCAAGACTGGCATGGAGAGGCTGGCAGAGGGCAGAGAGGAGGGCATTTGATTTCATAATAAACTTGGACTTGAAGTTCTTGGCAGCCAGCACAGAAAGGAGAACAAAATGCGTTTTGTACTTTCCATCAGGGGATGGAAGGAAGCAGGCCAATCCCAGCCATGTCTCCCAGAGGTAAATGCATACAGGACAGCCTCTGGTCCAGGAGAGAGGCCAGTGCATTTATTGATGATATGATTAATGATGAGCAGTATCTTCACTGACTTTTTTTGTGGCAAGGGAAGAAACAATCTTTTCATGTCTGTTTCTTACTTACCCTTTTTGATTAAATCCCAAGGCATAAATGATACTGACTCTTAACTGATGGGAAATGATTCTTCCCAGGATGAGCTGTTGTGGTTCCTTCTGTGGGACCACAGCTGTCAAGGGCTCTGGCTTGATACATGAAGAGAATGTGATAGCCCCTGCCTTAGTTCAGTCCCCTTAAATCTTCTTCTTGACCTAGATACTGATCTGGGCATCCATTTATTACATTGTAGCATCTGTAGGTGGATGAGGGTATCTGTCCCTACCACACATAGCCAGAAAGTTCTCCCTTTCCAGGTGAATATTTATGTTAGTAAGTTATCTAGCCTTGCATTTTGGCACATAAGAGAATCCTGTTTGGATCTTTCTGAGGAAGACCCTTGACTCCTTTCTTTGCCTTTTATTAGCCACTGAAATAATGGGGCCTCAATAGTCCAGGACTAGAAATACTTGAAACAAATCCATGCTACTAGGTGATAGGAGAGAACAAAGAAACAGGAAACAGATCTGTGTCTTCATCCTGTCTTCTCCAGAGAGGAGACTTGGCCAAGTATATGGCAGATGAGGCAGGATGGAGCTGTCAAAACCATGGACTTCATCTCCCTACTTGAGAAGTGAGGGTGAAGCATCGATATCAGTGGTTTTATTGGTGTCTGGGCTCCTCCCAAGACCAGTAGAGTCCGTCCTGCACAGATGGTGCCCGATTTCATCAGGAGCAGTTGGTGTCGTAAAAATAACAGTGGTTCCAAATTGTGCCTGCTCTTGCTTTCTGTCCCCGGTATAAGTTGTTGCTTTGTGTCCTTCAAGGCTCTTGATGGCAGATCAGGTCATATAGATAAGTTCCAGGAGGAAAGAAAATCAGACATGGTTCCTGTCTACATATTTCCTTTTAAGTTTTTAATTAATGTGTGTGTGTGTGTGTGTGTGTGTGTATTTCTGTGTGCATGTGAGCCATAGTTCATACGTGGAGGTCAGAGAATAACCTATAAGAGTCAGTTCTTTCTTCCATGGTGGAATCTGGGGCTTGAACTCAGTTCATCAGGCTTATACAGGAAGCACCTTCACCCGCTGAGCCATCCTGCTGGCTCTCATTTTGTGATTCTGTTTGTTTTTGGTCAGGACCTAGTGCATGCTGCTAGGCAAGCACTACCACTAAAGCCATACCCGGGCCCCAATTTTCTGATTCCCTGTGGATTTCCTAACTAGAATTTCCCAAATGGAAGAACAATAAGAAAATGTGCACAGTGTGTTTCTGATTAGCTTTCTACTCTCAAGGCTGCTTGTTCTTCCTAACCACGAATGGCCTCTAGCTGTGAAGGGCCACTGTTATGTGGCCTCCTCAGTGGCCTGTGCCTGTGTGCAGAAGGGTCACTTTACTGCAGCCCTTGCCATACAGGTGTTCATGCGTGCCCTCTTCCACTACGACCCACGGGAGGACCGCGCCATCCCCTGCCAGGAGGCGGGCCTGCCTTTCCAGCGTAGACAGGTCCTGGAGGTGGTGAGCCAGGATGACCCCACGTGGTGGCAGGCCAAGAGAGTGGGGGACACCAACCTTCGAGCTGGCCTCATTCCCTCCAAGCAGTTCCAGGAGAGGTAGGTCTGGGGTGCTGTTACGGGATGGGACTCCAATGGCTGGTGGCCCAGTATGTGACAAAGCCCCCAGTCTCTGCCATCACACCTAGGGGGGCATTAAGGTAAGTAAAAGCTACTCTTGTGTCTGTGTCTTAGCTGCTTGAGATTGAGATAGCTGTATCGACCTTTTACTTTTTGTTTTCAGTATTGAGGCTCAAATCCAGAGCCTTGCTGGGGAAGTGCTCTACCGCTAAGCTCCTGTTCCAGCCTTCTTTTTTATTTTTTAATTTTGAGACAGGGCCTCACTAAATTGCCCGGGCTGTCCTTGAACTCATTTTATAGTTCAGGCAGGCCTTGAACTTGCAATCCTCCTGCCTTAGCCTCTCAAGTAGCTGGGATTATAGGCCTACACCACCAGGTCCAGGTGAACATCTATGTTAGTAAGTTAATGTATACAGCTGTTCCTTAGTATATGTTGGGAGTGCTTCTAGAACCTTCTAGATACCCAAATCAGTAGGTACTCTTCCCTTACATAGAATAGTATTTGGTGTATTTGCATATAACCCTGCCCATCCTCTGGGTGCTTTGAATCTTCTCTGGATGACCCAGAATGCCCAGTGCCATATCAATGCTGTGTAGATGGTTGGTGCTCCATGTTTAGGGAATAACGCCAAGAAGGAAGTCTGTACACATTTAGTACAGACACAATATTGCTTGCACATATTTTCAATTTACAGTTGGTCAACTCTGCAGATAGGGAACCGTGGACCAAGAGGGTCAAAGTCTTGCCAGTGTCCCAAGAGCACACTTTATTTTCTGCCTGTGCATTTTTGTGTGCTACAGACAGAATCTAGAATCTGGCTTTTAACTAAGATTTTGAATTTCCCATACGTTTACGTATTCCTCATGTATAATTTTAATGGTTGTATAATATTTCGTCAGGAGGTGTACACTGGATCATAGGTAGCAGGTATTTATTAGGATTGCTCTGGTTTGTGCTGTGCATCTTTACATTATATTAGTAGTATCATCATCATTATGATTTTGAGATAGAGTTTTGTTGCATAGTCCAGGCTGTCCTTGAACTCATGGAATTCTTTCCCACCTCAGCCTCCTGAGTGTTGGGATTACAGGCAAAAGCCATCATACCTGCCCCTTGTGCTTGGCATCTTACCACTCCCGTGAATCCCTGCTCTGTTCTGGAGGAGCTTACAATGTACAGGAAAGTCCAGACCTTCTCCAAACACACACTTTATGAGAAGGTGACTCATGGGAGGGACATATTCTCTGTGAACTTGTACTAGGAGCATGTGTCCTCATCCGGGAATGCAGGGAAGGCTTCTTGGAGGAAGGGTTGTACCTGAGCGAATGTCTGGCTTCCCTTTAGCCACCCTCTCAGGCAGTCTATGGCTTTTCTCTGTTACAGGTTGTAGGAGTGGTCTTGTATATAGAGGTTTCTTTTTTTAGAAAATACTTTATTATTTTTATTTTATGTGTATTAGTGTATTGCCTGCATGTATGTGAGTGCACCCGTGTCATGCAATGCCACGGAGGTCAGAAGAGGGCTTTGGATTCCCCTGGAACTGGAGTTAGGATGGTTTGTAGCTGCCATGTGGGTGCTGGGAATTGAACCCGGGTCCTCTGCAAGAGCAGTTGGTGCTCTTAACCACTGAGCCCTCTCTCCAGCCCCTCTACAGAGGTTTCATCATAGTTCATAATCTTCTTTTAGACTAAATTTCCAAGAGGGCAAACCCTGGGGCTGGAGCAGACAGGACTGTGTCACTTCCTCTGAGGTTTGTGTCCCTCTTCACATCTCAGTGTATAGAGTGCAGTGATGGCAGACTTCAGAGTCCATCTGTTTTAGTGGCTAAATTGATATGGACTCTAGGCCAGGAGTACTCGTGTTATGTAGGAGGTCTTCAGGCTCCATCCTAAACCTGCAGATGCAGAAACTCCAGGCTGTATCCTCACCCATGTTCCAGGGGAGTCTGAAGCCCTGGGGTCTGAGGACTGCTGGCTTCTTCAGGGACCCCCAGCCCCATCTGTGATTTTGACTTTGAAGGTCATGCCCTCTTCAGAAGATGTGGAGGAAGTCTCTTACCTCCATTTTTTTATTTTTGCATGTGTGTGTATGTGTGCATGTGCGTTTGTGTGTGCATGCTGTGTAAAGGCCCAAGGTTAACATCAGATGTATTCCTCGGTTATTGTATATTTTACTTTTTGAGATGGGGCTCTCATTGAACCTGGAGCCCAGTGATTTGTCTGGTCTTGCTGGCCAGCAAATCCCGAGGATCCTTCTGTCTCTGACTCCCCAGCACTGTGTGCATCACAGCACACAGTGTTTTTTTTTCTTTTTTAAATTGTGGGTGCTAGGTATCAAACTCAGGTTTCCATGCTCACATGGCAAGTACTTTACCAACTGAGCTATCTCCATTTTATTTAATTTTTTGTATTTATTTTTATGTGTATAAGTGTTTTGCCTGCATATATGTAAGCACACCATGTGTGTGCAATGCCTGTGGAGGCCAGAAGGGGACATCAAATCTCCCGGAACTGGAGTTAGGGATGGTTGTTAGCTGTCATGTGGGTGCTGGGAACTAAATCCAGGTTCTCTGGAAGAGTAGCGAGAACTTGCTGGATCACTGAGCCATCTCTCCAGCCCCTCATTTTCAATGTGGATTCTAGATACCTCCAAGATCCCTGGGATGGTTCTTGAGCTCAAGGAGGTCTTGGTGACTGCCTATCTGCTGACAGCCATATTGGATAATGCTGGGGAGGGTCACATCAGGATCACTTTTACCCTTGGCCTTTCCTGGGAGTCTTTCTATTTTCCCTTTTCCTCAGAGATGGGAGAGGGGGGAGCAGGGTGAAGTGGAGAAGGTCCTCCATGCCTCAGAAGTCAGCCATGGGAAAATTACTGCAGTGATCACTGAGGGTACGAGGTAGCATTCCTCTGTGGTTGGTTGTCTTAGGCAGGGCAAGCCTTTTCCAGGACAGGAGACTGTTTTTTTCCTCCTTATAAATCAATGAGCTCTGTGAAAGTATCCCCCTTCTCTACCCAGAACTTGCTGTGAAGCAGGAGGCCCTTGGGGTGCTCAGCAGTGTCCGACAGTGCTTGGTTTCTCTGAGCTTCTGAAAGGTTCCCTTCAGCAGGTTCTCTGACCCAGCTCTGTCCACTTGTATCCCTGCAGACGACTAAGTTACCGGAGAGCCACTGGTACCCTGCCAAGCCCCCAGAGTCTCAAGAAGCCCCCCTGTGAGTAGACTGGCAGAGGTGGGGTACAGGGAGGAAGGGTTGGAGTCAAGATTAAAAAGAAGCTGACGCTGAGTTGGAGGGGACACTGGAAGCCCTGTCTGAGCCTGTAGGCCTCTAGGGGAAGGAGGTGGGGTGGGGAGAGCCTTGAGGAGGGGAAATGGTGATGGCAGCTTTTGCCTACAGAGAAACTTCTGTACTGGGGCCTGTGGATGCCACTAAACACAGCTAACACAGCTCCAAGCTGCTATGCAAGCTCTATGGGTATGTGTGTTTGGAAGAGGCCTCCAGCTTTCATTAGCTTCCCAAGGAGCGCTTTGAACCTGAACATTAAAACTCGCTGATGTGGGATGGGAATCGGGGGTGTCCAACCCATGACCGTATGCTCCCCAGTATAGCTATGAATGTGGCCCAACAGAAAACTGAAAATGTATTTAAAACATTATGAGACTTTGTGTGTGTAAAAGAAGCTGACGCTGAGTTGGAGGGGACACTGGAAGCCCTGTCTGAGCCTGTAGGCCTCTAGGGGAAGGAGGTGGGGTGGGGAGAGCCTTGAGGAGGGGAAATGGTGATGGCAGCTTTTGCCTACAGAGAAACTTCTGTACTGGGGCCTGTGGATGCCACTAAACACAGCTAACACAGCTCCAAGCTGCTATGCAAGCTCTATGGGTATGTGTGTTTGGAAGAGGCCTCCAGCTTTCATTAGCTTCCCAAGGAGCGCTTTGAACCTGAACATTAAAACTCGCTGATGTGGGATGGGAATCGGGGGTGTCCAACCCATGACCGTATGCTCCCCAGTATAGCTATGAATGTGGCCCAACAGAAAACTGAAAATGTATTTAAAACATTATGAGACTTTGTGTGTGTGTGTGTGTGTGTGTGTGTGTGTGCGCGTGTGTGCGTGTGTGCGTGTGTGTGCGTGTGTGTGGTTCAGTTGCACATTGAATTTTGTAGATGACAACATTGTGTCCAAATGTCACTTAAAATAAATGCATATACTCTCTCCAACCCCCTGGGCCAGAGATTGGACACCCCTATATGGTCCAAGACAAGTCTTCATACAGTATGGGCCCAGAGAAGTAAAAATGTTGGTCACCCCTGCTAAGCATCCTTGTACCTCTGTGACAACATCTGGAGGTCCAAACAGAGGACATTGAGAGCAGGATGGAAAGAGCCCTGGGAAGCAGGTGGAAATGCATCCTCACTCCTAAAATGGGAAAGTAGAGACTCGTTGGGTTCCATGTCAGGGTTTTAGAGGGCAGATCTCAGGTTAGAGTCCCTCACAGACAGGAGGCTTTTCTAGAACCTAGCCTCTGCTGCTGGTGGCTCATAACCAAATGAGGGGCCTGTTCAGGCACCTATATTTTTCACTTTCAATCCCAGAAAAAGTAAAGCAAATCTTATTCCCACTGTGGGACCCCAGAGGGACCCACTCTACCAGCCACGACTAGAGGCCACATTTCCAGGCTTGCTGTTGGGTGGGGAGCCTGCCAAGTAAATTAGCCAGGAGGCCACTTCGCTGGCCACGTACTGGCTTTCTCCATCTGCTAATGAGACACAGAAGAAGGTTAATCAGAGCAGGGCTAGGGCTTTAATAACGCACCACTGCTCAGATCATAGGCTTGTTGGAGCAAAGAAAAGGGACAGATGGAGATCTCCTCAGGCTGCTGAGGCTGTAGCTCCCTCTCAGCCGCAGGGCTTCCTGGTTCCCTGCACTAACGCTGTCTCATCTGTCTTTTATGCAAACTGCAGATGATCAGCCTTGTGACAAAGGTAGGCCTGGTGTTTATCCCCTGTGCACACGAGTGAGGCTCCTTTTCTGTGGAGTGTCTGGGGCTGAGGGGGGCTGGTTTTCCTTCTCCCATCTGGGTGGCTGTTCCCAGGTGTGTGGAGTGGGAATGGGCTTCAAAGCCTTGGGGCCCCTTCCCTATGTGGCTGGCACAAAGGAAGGGGCAGTGCTTTGACCCAGCTGCTAGGTAAGAGTCAAGAGACAGGAAGATAGGACAGGGGACTGGGCCCTTCTGTCTTATTCCTGTGTCCTATCCTGGTCCAGAATTCCCACCAAGGCCTGGAAAGGCTGTTGGGGCCTATGCATGGAAAATGGAACAAAACAGAAGGACTTGTCCTGGGGCAGTCAGGACATGGGATTTCCTTCAGAGCTCTCCCAGGTCACCATCTCAGAGGGCTCTGCCTGGCCACCAGGGGCTGGGACTCTGCATTCAAGGATGCATCCAACATGACTCATCTGTCTCTCTGTTTGGTTTCCAGAGAACTGTGATTGTGAAGGGTATGTCAAAGGACACTATGTGGGTAAGTAGTGGGCTCTCCCCTAGCACCCTTCCCAGCCCATGCACAACCTCATGTTCCAGAACCTGGGTCAAGAGCCGCTAATCCTGGGATTCCCTCATCTTTTGCTGTCTATCAGTGGACAGTGGAAAGCTAAGCCTACTCAGGCCTGGGCCACACACAGCCTCTCACTGGGCTGCAGGGCTGGAAGGGGACAAAGCATTATGTTGACACTAATTTTAACCTTTGTCATCTTAATTGGAGTTTATTCAGTGTGAATCTCACCACTACATGACATTTTTGTTTATGCCATTTTCCCCACAAAGGCCTTAGAAACAAGTAGAACATCTCCTGACTTTTATTTAGAAGTAATTTAAACTTTGAGAATGAAACAGAGCTGCCAGGCACTCCACACCAGACTCTTGGATTGTTAACTGCCTGTTGTCTTCTCATTTCCTTTTCTGTCAAATGTCACATGACAGTTAATGTACACATCCTGTCCCATTACCCCTAAGCACCTCAGCATACATTTCCTAAGGGCAAGGACATCCTGTGACACACAACTCAGGACAGCGATCAAATTCTGGATATTTCACATGCATACAATTCTATTATCACATACAGTTATTAAAATGCCACTGCTTGTCCCAATAATGTCCTTTAGAGCATCTCTCCCCCAGTCTGGGATCCAGTCTAGGATCACCCACTGCATTTGTATACCTGAATTCCCACTTTACCGACAAGGGAATTGAGACTCAGCGAGATAAGGAGACTCTCCCAAGGTCAGTCATGTGCCAAGAAAAACTGTGACCTTGAGCCCCCTAGTCTTACAGATGTGGGGAAGCGGTCACCCTTTCCTCTTATCACCACGCTTCCTGCACTGGCCATCCTGAGCAGGAGGCTGTATAGCCAGGGGCCCAACCCTGGGGTCTGACTAGCTGGAGAAGGTCTTTTGTGGGGATCCTGGCACCATCACCACCTTGTCCCTTTGCCCTTTCTCAAGCTGGTCTTCGGAAAAGCTTCCGACTGGGCTGCAGGGAGAGGCTGGGTAGCTCTCAGGAAGCCAAGGCACCTGCAGGAGCTGAATCTCCAGCGTTATTGACCTATGAGGAGGTGGCCAGGTACCAACACCAGCCTGGTGAGCGGCCCCGCCTGGTGGTTCTGATTGGTAGGTGATACCCTTGTTTCCAGGAGGTGGGCTGGTTTCCTGGAGGAACTGCAAGGAGGGAGCTCAGCAGGGACAAAGTCAGCCTTCCCCTTGTTTCAGGGTCTCTGGGAGCCCGGTTAAATGAGTTGAAGCAAAAGATAGTGGCCGAGGACCCCCAGCACTTTGGCGTTGCTGTTCCACGTAAGAGGGCCCTGAGGGGGGTGTGTTTGTGTGTGTGTCCACAAGTCTTTCCCGGGGACTCATCTTGTTCTTTTTGACATTTTGATACTGAGGGCTTACCAGACACTTGTCTGCTGTAGTCAAATGGTGGGACCTAGGCATGATGGGAAAAGACTCACTCTTAGCCATCCACTAAGACTCTCTGAAGCATCTGGTTGGGGAGGGAGGTGAGTCCAGAACATGCTGCAGGCAAAGTGGTAGTTTTTGAGTGACACCTAGGGGTCCCACAGTGGTGACCTTCTAGCCTCCTCTTCCCCATGACTCTGACTCCTGTGGCCTCTGCTTTTTGCTTGGATAAGAGAGCAGGTCACAGAAGGAATAGCTGGTGAGGTAGGAGGTATTGTTTAGTACTTTGTAGTTGGATGCTAGTCTCAATGAGTGGGCTGGGAGAACTCCTGGATGATGTCACCTGTTCAAATCCCCAAGACAGAGGGTTGCCAAGACCCAGTAGGTGTGGATCCTGATTCTGAATGGAGAACAGGAGAGTGGGAACCAGGCACCAAGGGCCCTTATATAGAAACTTGGCTGGCCCTTCTAGTACCCCAGAAAAAGAGGTACTATCATCATCCCATTCTGAGAAAGAGGGCCCCAAGCCTCCATAAGGTTAAGTGACTAGCCCAGCATCACAATGTGGGAAAAGGGGGTAAAGCCAGACTTGGAGCCCAGGCAACCAACCCCAGGCTCATTCCTAAGCTGTTGGCACCATAGCCCCTAACATGCTCTCCACCATGTCCTGTCCTTAGCTGTGCCTTTCCTGAGACTCTCTCTTTCTGCCTTTCTGGCCCTGTAGGGATGCAGTGTGGATACCTGGTGGCCACAGAGAGGGGATGCTGTGGTGGCAGGAATGATCTTTTCCAGAGTGTTCTGGGGCAGGCCAGCTGCAAAGGCTTTCTTAGATCACCTAGCTCTTCCTCCACAGTTGAGCCTGTGGCTGTCAGAATTATCTTCTGGAGCCTCCACTGATGTGGATGGGACTTGGGGAGGTGGTAGGGCTGTGGAGGCCATTTTAGCAGCACAGCTGTAAAGGACCTGGAGTGTTTCAGGGGCCCACAGCCTTTGGGTCTCCAAGACCCTTGAATCTATCTCTGGAGAGGCCTGTACTCAGAGGTCAGGCCTACCTGCTTCCAGGTACCCTCAGAGAAGAGACCTTTCCCCTTGTTTTAAGACCTGGAAGAGTTGAGGAAGGCTTCTCAGAGGCAGTGACTTTTATGCTGAGTGTAATGTAAATAGAAATCTTCCAAAAAAGTAGAAGAGAAAGAGTACAAAGGGGACATGTGCAAAGGGATGAAGGTGTGACCTGGGGTAGCTGTGCTAGGAATGTTAGTGTGGACAATGAAGCTGAATTGGAGGTTGGGCAGAGCCTGAGGGTCTTGTGTGCTCATGAAGATGTTTAGCATCAAGCAGTGGGGAAATAAAAGTCAGGTAATGACTTGGGAAAGGGTCCCTAGCAGACCTTCTTGGGGTTGGCCTGAGATGACACACAAAAGCCTGGAGCATCCCAGTGGTGGTGCTTCAAGGGCTGGAAAGCTTTGTCTTCCCTGTATTTTCTGGAAAGAAAAGTTGTGTGCTGCCTCATATGTCCTCCTGTGAAGACCACATTGTCCCCAGGAAATACATGACAGCTTCACTGTGGAAATTGATGGGGACACTGCATTTTAGAAGCATGTCTTTGATAGCTGGCTCTGCCGAAACCCAACCACCCTTGTCTTCATGGTACCTGTCTCCTATTCTCTCAGATGAGAAATAACGGCCTAAAGAGTGACCATCCTAGGCCTGGGGAAAGAGCTCAGTCGGTAAAGTGCTTGTCATGAAAGTGTGGGGACCTGAGGTTGAACTCCACAACACTATGAGGGGACATTTGCTTATAATCCCAGCATGGGGAGGTAGAGACAGGTAAATCCATGGAGCTCACTGGCCAGCCAGCCTAGCTGAATTAGTTCCACACCAAATGAGAGACCTTGTCTCAGTAAAACAAGGTGAAGGGGGCTGGAGAGATGGCTCAGTGATTAAGAGCCCTGGCTGCTCTTCGGGAGAATCCGAGTTCAGTTCCCAGCACCTAACCTGGTGGCTAACAACACTCTGTAGCTCCATTTCCAGGGGGATCTGACACCTCTGGCCTCCACGGGTATTGCACGTATGGGTGAACTTATGTACATGTGGGCAAAACACTTATACACATAAAAAATAAGTAAATTAAAAAAAATTAAAAGCAGGGTAGATGACACATGAAGTTGACCTCTGTCCTACACGCGCACACAGGTACGCACGCACACACGCCCCTGCACTCACCACCACCCCCCAAAATTATCAGCTTACAACAGGATTAAATGTATTTGTGCCCCTTTTTCTCAAAAGAGAAAAACAATGAAAGATCAAACACTAAGACCAGGGAACTTTCAGTTATTCTTTAAAGCCACAGCACCGAGAAGGGAGCTCAGCAGAGCAGTGAGGGGTCTGTGCTTGGCATGGAACAAAGAGACTGTCGCTGGCTCTGCTATCTACTGGCTGTGGGCTACTAGGCAAGGTGCTAATCTCTGGACCTTGGGTTCCCAGATGCCAGATGATATGCCTTCTTTGGGGTCTAGGATGTAGCTGAGTTTGTAGAGGGCTTGCCTAGCATTCATGAAATCCTGGGTTCAAGTGTAATAATGTACACTCAGCTCTTAGGAGATGGAAGCAAGAGGATTAAAAGTTCAAGATCATCCTCAGCTACACAGTGACTGGGATAGATGAGATCCTGTCTGAAAAAAAAGTCTTTGTTTTGCCTATATCAAAGAGTTGTACAATTTGGAGGGTATCTGTGGCAACCCCTGATGCCCCTGACATGATGGAAGTAGCTGGTTCATGCACACAGATCAGTGATGAACTCCTGGGCAGGTGCACAGGCTCACTTCTCTTCTACTCGCTGTGTTGTGACACCTCTTTGCCCAATAATTCTTTCTTTAAAAGACACTACAAGGCCCCGGAAGAGTCACGAGAAGGAAGGGGTTGAATATCACTTTGTCTCCAAGCAAGTGTTTGAGGCCGACGTACATCACAACAAGTGCGTCACTTCACGTGCCAGTGGGCCCTATGGGTAGCTGCGTAGTCTTTGTGTCTGTCTGATGTTGTATCGGTACTTAACCACCTGGCTGGGCTTCCAGAATGGATGGGGGAAGCAGGAAGTGGGAGGGATGTCATATTTGGAAGCCCACATTTCTTTCTTTTTTGCTGAGTTGAGGCTGCTGAGGAACTAAAGTCCTTTCTCTTTGTTTTAGGTTCCTGGAGCATGGTGAATATAAGGAGAATCTCTATGGGACCAGCCTGGAGGCCATTCAGGCTGTTATGGCCAAAAACAAAGTTTGTTTGGTGGATGTGGACCCAGAAGTGAGTTCCTGGGCCAGCTGAGCATTTGAGTCTTTGCAGCTTAGAGCTTAGGGGGACTGTCCATTTTATAGAACACTTGAGCTCCATCTAAGGAAGTTTTGTCTCAGAACACTGGGTGTTAAGCATCTTTGGTCCTTTCCTTGATAATTGAATATAATCTTTATATTCCCAAACATGCCCTGCTGTTCTCAAATTCAGCATAAATTGGAAGGAGCGCAGGAACCCTCTGGTGGCCCATAGACCCAGAACAGAAATCCTTGCATTGAACAAATCACATAATAGACTGGCAAGCTAGGTGTGGTTGCATGTGTAGTCCAGCACTTGGGAGGCTGAGGAAGAGGATTATGACTTCAAGACCAGCCTGGGCTACACAATGAGAACCTGTCTAAAAATAAGGGCGGGGGGTGGGGCAGGGACTGGAGAGATGGCTCACTGGTTAAGAGCGCTTGCTGCTTTTCCAGAGGACCAGAGTTCAGTTCCCAGTACTCATGTCAGATAACTCACAACCAACCACCTGTAACTCCAGCTCCAGGGATCTGACATGCTCTTCTGGACTCCACAGGCACACACATACACAATTGGGAAGGGGGAATTTTTTTTTTTTTGAGACAGGGTTCCCCTGTAGCTCCAGCTAGCCTGGAACTTGCTTTGTAGACTGGCCTTGATCTCATAGAGTTCTGCCTGCTTCTGCCTCCCCAGTGCTGGTATTAAAGGCGTGTGCCACCATGTTCGGCTTCACACATAATTTTTTTTTTAAGGACTCTGGTTCCTGCCTCCATCTGGCATACTACAACAGAACAGAATTATTAGATGTGTCTACCCAGGTGAGGGTTGCTGTGTTCTTTCTAGCCAGCCTCCCTCCCAATAACAGGGACAAGTAAAATCAATGAGGGAGGAAGCTCTAGGGAGAGCCACAGGAGACATCTGGAGAGTAGTCTGCAAGGGAGAGAGTCCGGAGCAGCTTGACCCTGTGCAGAACTTCAAAGCCATTCCCAGATATGTATGGCTAGTGCTCTCGACTCCACAGGGGCTCAGCCGTCTCTTAACCTTTTCTTTCAGAAAAACTTTCGCACTTTGACCTCAAGATTGGGATTCCCCCCATAGGAATGAGTCTTTGATGTTGATATGAACTGTAAGCTTTATTTCATTCAAGTTGGCTTAAAATGTATTTCCAAAAGTATATATTTTTTTCCTGTGAGGGAACCCCTCATTTGGACTTACCAGAGGTTAGTAGTTAAAAATCAGTCTAGGGGCTGGAGAGATGGCTCAGTGGTTGGGAACACTGGTTGTTTTTGAAGAGGACTCGGGTTCGAATCCCAGCACCCACATGACAGCTGACAACTGTCTAACTCCAGTCCCAGGGGATCCCACAGCCTCTTCTGACCTCTGAGGGCATTGCATGACACTGGTGCACTTACCTACACACAGGCAATACATGCATACACTAAAAATAATAAAATTTCAATGGGTTTGTTTTTTTTGGTCTTTTTGAGACAGGGTCTCCCTGTAGCCCCAGCTGTCCTGGAACTCACTATGTAGACCAGGCTAGGCTTGAACTACAGAGATCCACCTGCCTCTGCCTCCCAAGTGCTGGGATTAAAGGTGTGCACACCATGCCCGGCAAATTTCAATAGTTTTTTAAAAATAAAAAAATAAGTGATTTAAAATTTTTTCCCTGTGTATGCATAATGATGGTGTTTATAAATGTAGGCCTTAACACTATATAGAAGACTCATTCTGTAAACAATGAGATTTGCATGTGGAAAAGCAAAAATCTACAAGTTTGTTCCAAGTGACCCCATGGCTCAGATGTCACTTCATTTGCTTTGCAAACTTTTTCTTTGACTATCAGAAGGCAGGCTGTGGGACATCTCAGCCTTACACAGTGTGGGCGAGTTGATGGTGGTTGATTAAATGGATGCACTGAGCCGGTGCTCTTGACCATCAGCTACAGGAAGGTGGAAAAAGGCTCAAGGAGGTTAATTGAGCTGGAGTTTCCCAGCTGAGAGACTCTACAAGAAGGTTCTAGACTCTTCCTTTCTCAGCAAGTTGCCTACCTGGCCTAGCTGAGTTCAGTGTCATAGAAAACGGATGAGAAAATGTGCAGTCGTCTGCTCAGCGAAGTTCACTATCTCTGATCTGATGTAACATTTGTTATTGAGAACTGCAGCCCAGAAGGACTGACTTCCAGTCATGATAAAATAATGCAAAAGTGTCTAATTCGCCTCAACTTCCTTTCTCAAGGCACTGAGACCCCTGAGGACCTCTGAGTTCAAGCCCTATGTTATATTTGTAAAGCCTGCTGTTCAGGAGACTAGGAAGACGCCACCCGTGTCACCAGCCTGTGAGGATGTGACAGCTCCACTTGTAAGTTTAAAGTTGATTATTTCTTCTCTGAAAAGGGTTGGTTCCAGGGTCTGTTCCTAGCTGACCAAGGGTTTTCTCAGAGGAGGACAGAGGGCGTACCTCTGCACAAGGCCATCTTTCTATTCTGCCTGAAAAGATGGTCACATGGCCAAAAGGCTTGACGTGGGATGGGGCCTCCCCTGGAGTCACCACCCTCGGCATATCTGCGTCCTCCCCTCAAAATGGGACCCACATTTGTCAGAGTCCAATGTGAGTGTAACAGACTGCATTCGTCTATTGAATTTCTAAGCCAAACTCAAGTATTGCATGTATGTGAGTGTTTATGTGCAGGCATGTTCGTGTGTAGAGGGGTGAGTGTACGTGTGTATTTAGAGGCTAGAGGTCAACCTTGGGTATCTTACCTCAGGAGGCACCGCCTTGATTTTGCTTTGCTTCTTACAGTTGTGTGTGTGTGCACGTGTGTGAGTGCATGCACATGCCTGTGTCATGACCCATGTGGAGGTCAGAGGACAACTTGTAGGAGTTGATTCTCTCCTTTCACTATGTGGATTTCAGGGTTACCACTCAGGTCATCAGGCTTCATGGCTGAGCCATCTCACCAGCCCTACCTTGTTTTTTGAGTCAGGGTCTCTCACTGGAACCAGGAGTTCACTGGTTCAGCTAGGCTGACTAGCCATGAGCCCTGGGGATCCTTCTGTCCCTGCTTACCGAGTGCTGGGGCTATAGGGACTTTGTGCCCATCTTTTATGTAGGTGCTGGGGATTGAACCCAGGTCCTCATGCTTGCATAGCAAGCACTTTGCCCAGCTCCCTTTTCTTTTCTTTTGAGATAGGGTTGTACTGTGTCTTCCAGGATGACCTTAAACTTTTCTTCTTGCCTCTGCCTCTTGAATTCTGGGCAGGACTGTGACTCCTATTGAAGTTACTGGAAAAGTTCCACCTTTACCAGCCAGGAAAAGGGTCAAGGAAATTTATGGGTACAAAGTAAATATCTCAATTTTGCTCTGTTAAATGAGTTCTTTCCAGATACAGATATCTGTTAGGAAGATCGTAGGACTTGGTGGAAAAGTTTTTCCTTATATAATTTCTCAAAAGGCTAATGGCTTCCCAGATGAAGTATATGGGCATCTGAAGGAGGGAAACTTTGGAAGCAGCAGATACAGGGTGTATGTGTGTGTGTGTGAGTATATGCATGTGTGTGTGTGTGTGTGTGTGTGTGTGTGTGCGCGCACGCGTAGTAGTGGGGAAGGCAGGATTAAAAGTCCAGGGACTGCATGAAGATGCTACAGAATGCATCTGAGTATGGGAGTGGTTCTGGAATAAGAAGAAATGATCTCAGCATTCTTGTAGGTTTACACACACACACACACACACACACATACACACACACACCAAAAACAAACAAACAAACAAAAAAAAACCTTTCCTGGACTTTTGGAACTCATCCCTGAAATTGCTGATAACCTCACGAAAGGAGGGATTGAGGACAGAAATATTTTGGAATATTGGGTTTTTCTGGTGGAGGCCAGAATTCTGTCTTGCCATGCGGCATGAAAACATGGGGGCCCTAGAAGCAGAGCCAGCAATGGAGGACTTCAGAGGGACAGGGAGGGACCTGGGTGAAGCCAGCAACAAGTTCACATTGTAATTTCTCTTCAAGATCTGCCACTTTCTTCCACACACTAGGCAACTGTCAGCACACTACACACCTGAAATTCTACTTCTGCTATCCAGCTTACTGTTGGATAAAACAGTTTTTGTGTAGACGTTAATGTTAGATGTTAGGAAAGCAATCAGATTCGAGAAATGAGATGCCCTAGGAAATGGGAAATTTGAGTAGAGCTGTTCCAACACTTCCTTAAATCATTCTACCTTGTCTGTTGTGATAGATTGTCCCGGGTGTGAAGCAAACTTGAATTGTTCATTGTAAATGGAAGAGTCTATATTTAGCGTACTAATAAGGGTTAGATTTACTTGCTCTTTCCCGTCTTCCCCCAGTCAATTTCATAAGTGCTTGCTTTGCTTTTTAAAAATATTTCTTTGAGCCCAGGCTTAGTGGTGTACACCTTTAATCTCAGCACTCAGGAGGCAGAGGCAGGCGGATCTCTGTGAGATAGAGGCCAGCCTGGTCTACATAGCCAGTTGCAGGCCAATTGGGGCTGCAGGGAGACTCTGTCTCAAAAAACAAAACAAATAAAATTTAAAAATTTATTTATTTTTATATGTATGAAATGTATTTCATGTATGTATTTAAGTGCCCCCAGGTAGTACAGTGTCCACAAAGGCCAGAAGAGGGTGTTGGATCTCCTGGCACTGGAGCTGATTTGTGGACAGTTGTTAGCCACCATGTGGGTGCTGGGAACCGAACCCGGGTTCTCTCCAAGAGCAGCTAGTGCTCTTATATTTGTGTATATATATCAACATCATATGCGTGCCCCAAAGTGTTGCCATTTCACTAGCCCCTTTTATATAGTTAATATTTGGAATTCTTGTAATTGCTTGACTTATGTAGTAAAATTCCATGATACGCAATAGTAATTTCTTTTTCTCTTGTATACGTATGTTGTATACATACGTGTATACGTGTGCATGCTGATGTGGGTAGGTACAAATGCATGTGGGTGTGAGTGCAGAGGTTGATGTATCTTCCTCTGTTCTTCTTCACCTTATTTTGGAGATACTCTCTCAATGAACCTGGAGCTCACCATTTCTGATAGACCAGCTGGCCAGGAAGCCCTTGGGATCTACTTGTCTCTGTCCCTCCAGTGCTGGGGATATAGATGTGCCCCACTGTGCTTGGCTTTTATGTGGATGCTGGAGATCTGGACTTAGAGCCTCATCCTTACACAGCAGACAAATTACCACTGAGCCATCTCTTCAGCCCCCCTTTTTTGTGGTGTTGAGGATTGAACCCAAGACCTTATATATGCTGATCTATAAGCCCCTGCTATGTAGCTCAGGCTGGAGTGCAACTCATGACCCTCTGCCTTACCCTTCCAAGTGCTAGGATTACAGATATTCACCACCACATCTAGTTAGTACCACTTTGTTGGCAACACTTTGGGGCGGGCATATGATGTTGACATATATGCACAAATATAAACAGGCACCCCTGAAAACATAACTTCCAGTTCAGAGAATCCTCGGTGGATATTTTGTGAGTGACTTATCACCGTGACTATTAACTTTCTTCTGTGTGGTGTGCTGCCACTACACCCTGCTGTTGTGTTTGCAGTTGGTTATCCATGACATATGGACATCCACTCTTCACACTGTCTTTTTCCTTGCAGGATGAACAGCAGCAGGAAATGGCTGCCTCTGCTGCCTTCATCGATCGGCACTATGGGCACCTGGTGGACACTGTGCTGGTGAGGGAGGATCTGCAGGGCACCTGCAGCCAGCTCAGAGCAGTCTTGGAGAAGCTGAGCAAGGACACTTACTGGGTACCTGTCAGTTGGGTGAGGTAACTTCATCCCGGAGCATCCAGGCTGGAGGCGATCTTAAAGACCATGTTGTCCAGCTTCCCTCAACTTACTATCAAGGAATCTCAAGTGCAGAGGGGCAGGGTTTCCCACTGTCTCTACCATCATTGAGTATTAGTGGGAAGCCTTGTTTGTTGTTAAGATTTCTGTCATTTTGCACTGCACCCCTTTGAGTTGAAAGGGTCAATTCATAGAACAACATGTCATTCATTAAAATATTGCAGGCAAGTTGGCCTTGATTCTTTGTACCAAAGCTATGTAGCCACTGCCTTTGCGGGGTGGTGGTGGTGAATTTGTACAATGTTGATTTGCAGTGATGTTTTAGCTTTCTGACACTTCACTTACCCAGCTTTGCTGGAAATTGTTTGCCCAAGGGGATCTTCCTTGCAACGGAAGACCTCGTCTTGCAGCATTAAAATGTTACTTTAACCTTTGGTAGTGCTTGCCTGGTAGTAGAAAAATTGGGTTCCTGCCTCTTCACATAGTGAACATACATGGTCTTTTTTCCTCCAAGACTGAGGCACACTTAACGGTCCACATGAATAACTGGATTATTCTATAGTGCAGCAGTGCCTTCGGGGACTCGGAATGTCAGGCTGCCTGTCCCCTCTCTGAATGCCCTCACGCCCCTGAAAGTGAGTCCTTGCTGTGTTTGATCTGTCTTCTATCAGTGTCCCTCTTGCTATTGCCTTGGTTCTGGCCTGTCTCTATCTCCAGATTATTGGGTCTCCTGTTATGCTAGATTGTGGGAAAGCAGATGATTCCTCCTGTCAAAGGTATGTCTAAGCCACAATAAATCAGTTCTGTTAAAATAAAAGTATGTGGACTTGGAGTGTGGGCCTGCTGGGTTGTTTCTGAGAAGACATGATTAGCATCACCCAGAGACTGTGAGAGATCATAGCTGCTTCGAGGATTTTACTTCTTATGAGTTGCCAATGTTACATCCTTTTTAATCGCACTTATACCAAGCCAGTAACATAGCCCAGGGCTGGGGAGATGGCTTGGTGGGTAAAAGTCCTTGTCATATATATTAGTTACTTTTCTGTTGCTGTGATAGAAACACTGACCAAAGCAAGTTATAGAAGGAATAATTTATTTGAGCTTAGGTTCCAAGGGGCAAGAGTCCATTGTGGCGGGGAGGCATGGCAGCAGGGGTGGCTGGAGGAGGAAGCTAAGCTCTCACATCTTCAAGCAGGCATAAGAAGCAAGAGAGAACTGGAGATCCAGCAAGGCTTAAGAACTCTCTAAGCCTGCACCCACTGTCATCACACCTTCTAAGACCTCCCAAAACAGCGCCACCAACTGGTGACAAAATGTCCAAATACTTGGAGCCTATGGGGGACATTTTCATTCAAACCTCCATACCATATAAGCCTGAAAACTCAAGTTCAAATCCCCAGGATCCACATAAAAGCCAGATTTGTAGTGCAAGTGCCTATATTCCCAGTGCTCCTGCCAGAAGATAGGAGATAGAGACAGGGGAGAATCCCTGGAAGCTCTCAGGCCAACTAGTCTGCACTTATACATGTGAATACACACACACACACACACACACACACACACAAGAAAATGGTGCAGCAGTATTTGAGCTTAAATTTCCTTCACATTAGAGATGATTCCTCACCTCTATATACACTGTCTTATGCATTTATGTCCCATAATGGAGACTCCCTATGAAATGACTTGACTTGTGAGGAGTGTATTCACAGCTAAAATTATATTTGCAATGTCCCTATAACTTTTAAGACTAAAAAGAGGCTTTTTACACATATACAAGATGTCTACTCCTGAAAAGACAGGTCAACAATGAAGGATCAGGGAAGATGGTTTGCTGTACATCTAGACATTTCCATCATTTTTTGGGGGGAGGGTCTTTTTGAGACAGGGTCTCCCTGTAGCCCCAGTTGGCCTGGAACTCACTATGTAGACCAGGCTGGCCTTGAACTTATCGAGATCCGCCTGCCTCTGGCTCCCAAGTGTCCCAAGTGGGACTACAGGCATGTGCCACCATGCCCGGCTGACATTTCCATCTTGAGAACGCTATCGCTCAACACCCAGGGATGCCCACCATCCAAGTATGCCCATCTGCCAGGATCTCATCTGTCAGAACTTTGTAGCAAAAGGGCAGATGATTCTTTGCACTCGTAGAATATTGGATTATTTTTTGAAATATTTATTTTTTTTATTTTATGTGTATGAGTGTATTGCCTGCATGTAAGTGAGTGCACCATGTTGTGCAATGCCACAGAGGTCAGAAGAGGGCTTCGGGTTCCCCTGGAACTGGAGTTAAGGCTGGTTCACAGCTGCCATGTGGGTGCTGGGAATCGAACCTGGGTTCTCTGCAAGAGCAGTCAGTGCTCTTAACTGCTGAGCCATCTCTCCAGCCCCATATTGGATTATTTTTGAAAGATTTTTTATTATTTTTGATGATGTGTGTGTCTTTGTGAGTATGTGCACATGAGTACAGATGCCCACAGAGGCCAGATCCCCCTAGAGCTAGAATTACAGGCAGTTGTGAGCTGCCTGACTTGGGTGCTGGGAACTGAACTCAGGTCCTCTGCAAGAGTAGTGTGCATTCTTAACTGCTGAGCCATCTCTCTAGCCCCCAATATTGAATTCTTTTTTTTTTTTTTTTAAACAGGGTCTCCTGGTAGCCTTAGCTGACCTGGAACTTGCCTTGTAGACCAGATTGGCCTCAGTCTCATAGAGATCCACCTGCTTCTGCCTCCTAAATTGCTGGGATTAAAACGTGTGCACTGCCATGCCCAGCATCCATATTGGATTCTTAATTTTTATTTACTTATTTTAAAAAATATTATTTTTATTTTATGTGTATGAGTGTATTGCCTGCATGTATGTGAGTTGCACCTGTGTTGAGCAATGCCGCGGAGGTCAGAAGAGGGCTTTGGATTCCCCTAGAACTGGAGTTAAGGACGGTTTGTAGCTGCCATGTAGGTGCTGGGAATCAAACCCGGGTCCTCTGCAAGAGCAGTCAGCGCTCCTAACCACCAAGCCATCTCTCCAGCCCTATTTATTTATTTTTATTTTATGTATGTAAGTGGTTTGCCTGCATGCATGTAAGTGTACCACATGAATTCAACGCTGTGGAGGCCAGAAGAGGCTGTCAGATCCTCTGGAACTGAAGTTACGGATAGTTTTTGGCCATTATGTGGGTACTGGGAATCAAACTTGGGTCCTCTGCAAGGTGCAACAGGTGCTCTTAACTGCTGAGCCATCTTTCCAGTCTGCAGTATTGGATTCTTACCAACTGAAATTTGTCTTGAGCTGTTTCACAGAAAATTAGGCTGAGAGAGGCAGCTGACTACTGAAGCGTGGATGGGTGGAAAGCTGGGATCGCAAGTCTACTCCTAGGCAGAAAATGCTCTAGGTAGAAATGATTCTTGGACATCTCACAGGAATGCACCATGTGGAGGCCCTACCCAACTCTAGGCAGTCCCATGTGGATGCTTTGTCTTCCAGTGTTTGAAACAGTGTTGAGAACCAGATGATTTCCCCCCTGCATTTCATATTAAACAGTCATTTCCTGCTTCCTCCATATTTTTACCCAATTATCAGATGAAATAGTGGTAATTCAATGTGGATTATGAGCCTTGTGTCTTCAATGTAGATTTAACACCTTAGTTAAATGTGCTTGTTTTATTTACAAACAAAGTACCTTCTCTAAAACAAAGTACCTTCTCTTTTTCCAGGACAACTTATATCCACAGCTGTTTATCTGCTACCAAGTCTGTGAGAATAGGAAGTAAAAGGGCTCCAGGGACAGGTGTCATCTGGAAGGCCTGTTTTTGCTGTTCATAAAAAGCAGAAAGGGTTGCTTAAAAATGCAGCTGTTTGCGAATATATATTGGTGGAGTATGTGTAAATGCATTTCTGAATCGTATCCTAACTAGTAGCACATGTGTTCTGAGCCCCTAGGGAAAAGGTTGGCAAACGTTCATCACTGAACCTCCATAACAACAAATCTCTTTAGGCCTTTAAACAGTTAGGTCCTCTGTCTTTGTCTACAACCTGAGACTATGTGAGCCCTGAAGGAATTTTCTAGGTCAAGAATGTTAAATGAATCACTTATATTGTACTACTGCCCACTCCTGCCTGTGACAGAACTCATCTATAGAGAACTCTATTGCCTTTGGCTCTTTCAACAGTATTATTAGTGCTGCTGTCCTTGACCCAGTGATGAGTAACTGTCCCTCACTCCTACCCCACTCTCTGCAAAAGATAGATTTTTTAGGGAAGGTTATAACCATCTGCCATTCACAGAACATCAGCCAATAGTGCCTTTGCCATTGTACATCTGAAATGTGTTACAGAACATCAGCCAATAGTGCCTTTGCCATTGTACATCTGAAATGTGTTACAGAACATCAGCCAATAGTGCCTTTGCCATTGTACATCTGAAATGTGTTACAGCACCTAGACAATCAAAGTGTGCATGCACTTACCCGGTGTCACATCATCTGTGTTATCCAAACAAGGATGGGTCTTGAACCCAGTATACAGCCCAAGCTGGCCTTGAAGTCACAATCCTCCTGCCTCTTCCAACTAGAAGCATAACAGTGATAACTCTGGATATATTTAATAAGGACAAACTTTAACATATGCATAAAGCCATTTTTAGATCAGAAAGTTAAAAACCAATCAACAACATTTCTGTTTGGTGGGTTTAGTATCGATCTATTTCTTACTCCCTTTTCCCTGTCCTGGGTGGGTGCTCTTGCAGAGGACCTAGGTTCAGGTCCATAAACAAATAAATCATAAAAATAAAATTAAAGTTACGGTACTGGTTTCAGTACAAGTTAGTACAGAATCATTTTTCTTCCTCTAAATACAATTAAAGTTTTATGAATATTTTGCCTACATTTATGTAAGTGCTCCTTTGTGTGCAATGTCCATAGAGGTCAGAAGAAGGTGGATCCCCTGGAACTGGAGTGGAGGATGGTTGTTAGCTACTGTGTGGGTACTGGTAACTGAACCTGAGTCCTCTGCAAGAGCTGCCAGTTCTCTTAACCACTGAGCTGTCTGTCTCTCCGGCCCCTCTAAATACAATTAAATACCTTGGATGAAAGGATTCTGAAAGTTGCCAAGGCTGACTAGGGACCCCAGGACTTCAGCAATTCAGTAAATTCCCTGTGTTTCCTTTCTATCTCCCGTGTAGCCAGAGAAGTGGTTCTAGAGAGGCCTCTAACCAGAACTACCCACAGGCAAAA